ATTGGGTTTGTTAAATTCGAGGTAAAGCAATGGTTCTCGACTTACCAAGACTAATTTTTAATTTGTGTTTGGTTTAGTCTCGCTCGACTACCGGCTGAGACTGCTCGAGTATTTTTTGTGAGTCATTTTCTAAAACAGAAACGGCTTTATCTTTCTTCTTTCTGCTAGACTATGCTTCTGGTAGCTGTTCAATGCCTGGACAAGACTCCCTTGTACCTTATCTTTTGCCCAGTTATGCAAAATATTATCTAAATTCTCAAAACTTTCCGCCATTTTAAAACACAGAGGGAAAAACTTTGAAATGATGACGTCAATCGTGCGTCTGTCCTCTAATAGATCATAGGCGAGAACCAATCAAAATGGGAGAAGAACTTGGGTTATTATATAATATAATTTAAACAAATATTTACGTTTTTGACACAATAAATAATCTGATAAATTTTAAAAGGCTGCTATCATAAGACACGATTAAGTCAAATAAAAGCAATCAATTCGAAAAGGGCTTAGTTTCCCGGTCAAGAGACCATGGTTTCTTGTACCGGTGACTTAAAAGCAGCAACGAAAGAGAAATGCATGGTTACATGTCCATAAAAATGCGAATGCATTCGAAATCAGATCGCCAAACATTGAAAACGTAAACAAAGTCTTGCATTAAATAAGCTAATGTCCTGGCATTTGTTTCTCGCATTGTATCGAGAATAAAGTCGTTGACTGCTCTGTAACTGACCAAACAAACAGGGCTTAAGGCCCCTTTTCAAAGCGCGGTGAGTTGCGCAACTGCACTGTCATATTCAGGTATGACAATTATTCACTTTGATAAAGGTGATGGCCTGGGTACGAGAGTATCCCCTGTTGTTTACAAGCTTATTAGGGAGCGGTTAAGGAGGGAGGGGGAAGTCATTTTCGAGAATGTCTTTACACAAGAGTTGCTGCACACAGAGATGTATCAACTGCATATTACCCACTATGGTATTTGCATTCCTCTCAGAATTTTGTTTTAACCCATAATTCCACAGGCGCCTCTTTTTCAAAGTCAGCTATGGAACAAAATCGATATTTGAAACTTTCAGTAACAGGGTCAAGCATTGATTTTTGTATTTCTAAATCAGACAATGTAAGACGAGAGTACTTATATCTACTTGGCTTCCGTTAGTACACTCTCAAAACTATTTATGCAGAACAATCTTGAACAATGATGGTGCAAATTTGCTTTGCCAAGAAATGGACAGACAAAGTCTTTGTCGCTTAATTTAACTTAATTGATAAAGACCTTGGGCGTCTGATAATGTAAAACCACTCGAAACACCAACGTGATAAAACAAAAGTGCCGCTCAGCTCATCTTTGAAATGTTTTAAAGACCTTGGAAAATCGTTCAAATTTGCAACACTAATGAAACTTTCAAGGCCAAAACGGTTTTGTGTAACTTTTCGCAAATTAATGCAGATTTTAAAAAAAAGATTCGACGTACTGAGCATATCTCACCAATTAAAGTTACTTCCTTGCCTTTAAAGCCATTAACAGCAGGTTTTTATATTTAAATATTGACCGCTCGTTGATCTGGTGCCTATTTCATTTGGTGCTGATTTCAAAATAACCTCAAAAAAGAAAGGTAAAACAGAGAGAAATAAATTAAAGTCCAATTTTTTCAGAAAGACAATCTTGCTTTAATTAAAAACCGTGCATTCTCACAAAGATATTTAAAATATGATACTTTGAAAGACGCTGCCAGCTTTATTATCCCACATAACGATTTTTGAATATTAACTTGGAAATAACCAATCACAGCCTGCGATAATGTCTTGCAGACGAGCCGACGCTATGCTTTCACGACGGAAAGATAATTTAAGTCGTACGAAACCTCGAACTGGTTAAGGGCTTCACAAAATGCAAGCATAAACTGCAGATATTAATGGCCAATCGATCAAGGTAGGTTTAATTATTTTCCCTTCGATACTGTACCTCTTAGCCATTGTCGAATTTTCTCGCCAAGCAAACCATAAGATCTCCATAAATCTATTGAAAATTCTGACTGTAAATAATTAAATACTGGTAGTAACCTCGCACAAACCTTCCGTTGTCGACTTTTTTTCTCTGCACACACATTTTCAATATTGTGCGTGAAAAAACTATCATTCTATGAAGACGAAACCTTTGGTTCGATTTGAATTCAGCCCGATACATCTTTCTGGTTATACAGTGTTTATGGATAGCAGTCCCAAGTAAAGGTTTCTTTTATATCCCACCTACGTTTTAACGTTGTGATGCGTATATTCCATCTTAATGAACTAGTCTTAGAAGCAAAGCCAACAAGCTTGATTGTAATTCATGATTTATTTTCGTCAAATTGAAAAACCTTATGTTCTTACAAGCTCTTAACTTTTCCTTTTACCTGCGACTAAGGCAACATGAACGGACATCTCTTTCAAAAATAATATTTTTAAGCCACATTGTTTTCCACAAACATCAAGGTGACGATCGAGTTTGAGGCAAACAAAATCTTCGATGAGGTTATTAAAAGATGCGTTTCACAGCTTGTGTCTTTTAATAATCTCACCTCTATGTTGGGCTACCGCAATGCAAATATTCTTCAAGTGGTTGATGACATAATAATAAACATTATGCTTTCTGTAGACGGTGGGGGAACCCATCCTTTTAGAAGCATTACTTAAACTTCCAAAGTTCAAGTTATTCTCAAAACCAATAATATCTCATCTTAAATGTGTTTTTTTTCCCATGTGCTAAGCAACTAATACGCTTTGCAAGTTTTCGGTAACATTCAATATTCCACAATTTAAAAATGTTACGACAAACATGCAAGCTGCATTCACGTGTTTGCATTAAAAAGATCGTTTTACAATATTTTCTGCACACAACAGAAAGTCTTCCGAAGGTTCTCCATTTTCCAACTATTTCCGTTCTAAAACTGTGTAAAGAACTAAAGGAAAATATTACTACAGTCTTGCTGTTTAGGTTTTTAATTTCCACGACTTCATGCAATGTATTGTGATGTAAATCAAGAAAGGTTTAATATCTGTGAGTCTGAATTATCCTATTTGCCTAACAAAGCTATCCAACGAGAAGACCTATAGATTAAGTATTTGATGGCACCAGCATATTTTATTTTTTTGTCTTTTTATGTTTTCTTTTCAAAAAATTTTCTATATCAGAAATACAATCTTTGAAATACAATATACACCACATTTGGTTACATTGGAGATAAAGGGTTTTTGAATTTAGGTCACGGATGAGGTTGACACGTTTCTTTAACATCACGAAAAAGCAGTATCCTCGTTTTATTAGTTTGTGCAATTGTCAAATACTATAATCTTTTGAATGGTATTAATTTTTCTTTGATTAACGAGCGTGTCTTGTTCAGTAATTTCTTCAGTAGTAGATCACAGGAGACTTCAAAATGTGGTAGGAAAATCAGTACGTGACACTCTCGGCGATCGCTTCGCCTCTTTTTAAATTCTCATTGCATCTTGACGACACCTGTGATCAATTACTGAACAGACGTACAGCAACATGGAATCTGAATAACAATGGAGCAAGTCTGCTGACTACCGCTATAAACGCAGAAAAACTTATCGCCACAACGACCTGATAGAGTTCAAACCGAGAGTCAAGAATTGCAGACGAGCACAGCGTTTTCGATCTGGTGTCTATTTCGATCTATTTCTATTTTTGACTGATCGAATGTCTTACAGATCCTACGCATATATACTAGCAGCATCTTCGTTTGCGGTCCCTTGCCACGTTTGTATTTAACAAGGATTCTATTTGTTTTATAAAAAAAAAAAAGAAAAAGCGAACTACATCATCTTAAAGTCTGCTTTTCAATTTATCTTAAGAAGAACCAATTAAAACTGCGAGAATAATTTTGCACACAGGTTGTAGACGATTAAAGTAAAATAGATTTGGTGAAGAAGTTTCATTTGCGTGAGATTGCCCTCACAAATACCTTATTCAAAATTGTTCCCATGACAACGAGCTTCGCCCTTTCAATGTACAGTTGACCACAGTTGCACCCCGTTATCCTGTACTCTCAAGGGAAACGAAGCGGAGGTTTCAAACAACGTCGCTAGTGAATGACAAAAAAGCATATCCATGGGAAAGTGATTTGTGATACAGATGGCAAGGAGTTCAAAATATACCAGCTCGAGACAGCCAGATTCATAGGGGGTATTTTAAAACATTATCTTGATTGAATAGTTGAAGCAATTTTACAAAACCAAGTCATACTTTCAAACTTTGTCGGTGATAGCAATAGATACCGTGATATTTTGCAAAATGTAGACACGAAACATTCACAATAACTTCGTTATAAACTGCTGGTGTGAAATAATTAGTGCTTTAACTTGCGTGAACGTAATCCATACGCCAGAACGACGTTTTTTATATAGTGTTCTATTTTTTTGAAACAAGAGATAAGACTTCACAACTGCTGGTAATTAAAGGGATTTATAATAGATCGCTTTAACTGTCACGCAAAAAAAAAAACAGAAATGAAAAAGCATTCGGTGGATGAAGTCAAGAAAATGTGATCTTATAAAAAATAAAGAAAGAAGACATTCCTCCAAGTTTTAGGTCTGTGCGCTTTCCCGAACTTAGCCCAGTAAGGAGCCCCCATATTGGCGTACCTCCATGGTACACCAATATGGCCGCCGGAAAATGGCGTAACCATTTGGAGCTTACTTTGGTTATCTAGGCCACTGATTACTATACCTGTACTACACCAACCTACATTTACATAAACACCTTTCCTTCTACTGTACTTTTACTGTACAAATGGCTAAAAGTTACGAGATGAGTATATCTATTCGACAAACTCTATCTTAGCTCTATGCCGCGCAATCACTGGTTTGCAAACGAAAGACGCTGCTGAGCTGAAAAGTTGTCAAAATATACCCATTTTGCACAGCTTATGCCTGATGAGGATAGAAACGCTGGTGGCTCTGTAGGTTTGGATTTCAGAATTTGATAGCGTCACGTCAAACCATGTATTGATCTGAAAGTCATGTGTACTTTTAAAGGGATCTAAACAAAGAATAAAGAGCTGAATCTAAAAAAGACCATAACCCCTTCACCATACCTCTTTAAAAACGCTAAGAAAATCGCATGAATAATAAAACGCATCCACATTAGATTGCGAGTTAAGTAATCTTGCAACTTCTATGTGATAAAAAAACTAACCCTACAAATTCGAATTCGTACATGCGTGTATCGTGCGTGAGCGTGGATATATGCTTGCGGGCGTGGCATCCATGTCGTGTGTGTAAAGCGGCCTTCACAAGGCAAACTAAAGTTAGCAAACTCGTGTTGGTAAACTCAAGTTGGTGTGTGTGCACGGCACAAAAACAGTCGGCAAACACGTTGGCAAACCGTTGGCGACAAATGGAACTTGCCTCTATTCTCGCCAATTTTTTCACCAACTTTTTCGTGTTGGTAAACTCGCATCTGACGTGTGAACGATTGACAAACATGTGTTGTTGACTGTCAACCAAGCAAAACACGGGCTCTATTCACGTGATTTATTTGCGTGACACTTCACAAAATGGCGGACGAAATTCTAGGTTCACAATGGGTGTCTGGAAAACCCGAATAGCGAATAGCGAATAGTCGCGAATAGCGAACAGCGAATAGTCCCGAATAGCGAATAGCGAATAATACGAGTAGTCTCGAATAGTGCGAATAGTGGCGCACAGTCTCGAATAGTGGCAAATAGTGGCAAATTAGTAGCAAATGAGGTACCCAGTATCTCGCAGTCAACCTCGCAGCAACGTAGGACGGGATTTTGCCGCTAAAAAGCACAGACACTTATCAGGACAAAAGGTGTTTCTAAAGGTCATTTCTTCTGTTTTAACCGCTCCAAAAGCGTAAATGCGTCTTTATTAGGTTATCCTTGTGTTTTCCGTTTTCTTAATGTCGGCGATGGACAGCCCGAGCCTGAGTCCGGAGAAGAAAAGGTAATAAATTCACTGAAATTCTGTTGCTTATTTGGATAATTAATTAACGCAAGGATATTAGACCTAAGGCCCAGTTCAGATGTGGTGCTTCTGCCGTGCCGAACTAAATTTAGGAATTAAGTTCGACAAAAGCACGGCAGAAGCACGGCGTCTGAATCAAACTTTTGAATTAAGTTCGGCAAGCAATTAAGTTCTGCCGAGCTGCACGACTCTGGCACGGCAGCGATTCAAACGTCGTGCCTCTCTCGCGCTAATCGAAATTCTTAAATTATATTAATATGTTTTGGCGGGATTGCGTTCCCACGGGGAGTTAGGAGAATTGTTACGAGGCATCAGTAAATTTTAAATTTGATTCGACTCTGGCACGACGTCTGAATCAGAGTTGTTTTTTCCGCCGTGTCATAGTCGAACCAAATTGCAATTGAGTTCGGCACGGCAGAAGCACGACGTCTGAACTGGGCCTAAGGCGGTGACTATTGACGACTCTTCGTCACTATTCGCCACTTTTCGCGACTGTTCGCCACTATTCGCACTATTCGAGACTATTCGGGACTATTCGCTATTCGCTATTCGGGTTTTCCAGACACCCGTTCACAATTGTCCGACTGCCGGTGTGGGACGTTTCATCTGTAGTCTACAAAGATACTAAAACGAAACAAAAGTAAATGGACGAGCTAGCGGACAAACTGGGTTTCGTCCAAACCTTTCTATTTCTCCACCACTTTCTGTTTCTTCTCTTCTCTTCTTCTGTTTCACTGTTCTGCGTGAGTACCACTGTTCTTAGTCGGCCATGTTGCAAATTACCGTGTGTTGTGATCTGTCGCGAGTTTGACGTGTGAAAGTACGAGTTTGCCAACTTTTTGAAGTTTGCCAACACGAGTTTGCCATCTTAAGTTTGCCGTGTGAAGGCCGCTTAAGAGGAGAGAGTTGAAAAGACGACGCGCAGCGGAGTATTTTTGAAGAAATTCGAAGTGTTTGGATAACCGATGAAATACTATCTCGAGTGTTTGATATATCTTCTCAATCAAAACAAGGAGTAAACGGAGAAGTAAAATCGTCAAAATACATGCTAATTAAGACCGGGTGTGCAAACCTCCTTCATGGTTGTGATTTTCTTTGTTTTAACTTAATTGATGAATTATTGATGAGTTTGAGAAGAGACGATCCGACAACAAAACCCTGTTACTAATGTAATAATATACATCCCAAATTCCAGAGTGCTGATTGGCTAAGAACACGTCAGTTAATCCCAAACAATGCAGAAACTTAAAATTGGGTACAGAAAGATGAAATTAAATTGGATGTATATTATTAACAAGTAATCAATTGGTTTTTCTCATGCGTTTTGGAATAAGCACTCATTGATGTTCCAAACGCTACAAATTGCACTCGCCCTACGGTCCAATGCTATTTTTTAATCCTTGAACTATTTTATAGTGCTTATTTATTGCAAATTGCACTGGAAATCATTTGATTACCTATAATAATGTCACCAAAGTAAAGCTGTCACATGGTAGAATTAATTAGAAAGGCCAGCAATTAAATTTTGGTAACTAGCAATAAAATAAATGCCATAGTAATTAAACAAAGGTTTTGTTTTCAGTGACGATAAATCTAAAATGGGTATTTCATTTCCGCTGGAAGTCACCATATGTCTTACTAAATTGTCACCATGTGATTACAATGACAATTGCGACAGTCCCCGTTAAAACAGTCTATTTATATTAAAAGCAATAATGAGTTTTATGAAATTGGAAATGACGCAATGTAAACTTCCTATTGAAATTTAAGGGCAAATTTCATTAGCTTCCAATATTACATGTAGATCTTATCAAGATATTTGTATTCAATACGGCCGTTATGTCTTTGGAATTAGGACATACAAGATTATTCGAGTGTTGGAAAAGTTAAAAAGTAAGTTAAAGCTTCAGTGTTATTTTGATACCAAACCATGTCAATATATTTATCATATAGTTTGCTTCATTTCAGAGTAAATGCGAGGAACATTTTGGGGATGTCAATTAATAACAATACCACTACACGGTCGTACTCTTCGCGATGTAAAGTTAATGATCTGAACGCGAAATTAGCGAACTGAATAACTTGCCGGAAAACCGACGTATTTTCTTTTTTTTAACGAAAAATATCCTGCATGCAGTTTAACTACATATGATATAGCAACTCATATGTGATTCATAAAACTCTTTCATGCATATCCATAATGTACGCATGCGCTCGTGGGCATTAGCGATTGGTCGATTATAATTGGGGTCAGTTTCCCATTGCTGGAAATCTGTCACACGTTTATCCGCAACTTCGGTGAAGGAAAGGAACAAGGAAAATTTTAATGCTTCAATAAGATGTTTGTGGTCAGATTCGATCTTGTTTCTTTATCTGCGGCTGCCGAAACTGAGTTTTGAAAACAAATAGGTTAGTGTGTATAAACTGCCTTTGCTGAGCCAATAGGAAACCGTGCAGCAAAGTGCTTTCATTTCAGTTTGATGCATAGCGCAGAGTATTCCGATATATAAGCTAAAAAGCCATTTCCTTAGAAATTACTGTTCTTGATGTTATCGCTTAAATAACCCAATGATCAAAGAAAGATTTTACAACAAGGTTTAGCTTAAGGTGCTGCGAAATCTATACATTTCAATTATGATAAATCTTAAAAGAGGATTTAAGATAGAAATTTTTATCAGACCTTTTTCAAAAAGTGGGTTTTACATGAAACAGTTGTAGAATAAATTATCTGCAAATATCGGGGAAAGGGTCAACAAAACACAATTTGCTTTTTTATTAAATGACATCTTTATTCCCCAAAGAATACACACTAGGTTTTTGCCAAACGTATCACACTAGGAGGTTTCAGACAACATCCAGGGAAGAATTTTTAGGTAATGATATGTAGACACACATGTACGTGCTTCCGATATAGTGTGACTTATTAAATATTCATTTTTCAGTGGTAGAAAGAGCAGCCTTATCTATACCGCAGCCTTATACACAGAATACATACAAACACCCGAGACCGTCAATAGTGGATTCTACCCATAAATCTGGGCTTACAAAATTCAGTCGTTGCTTGATTATAACAACGTAGAAAGGTAGGAAGTGGTGGGATTTTCTCCAAAAGAATACAAAAACAAACTAAAAATAAGCTGTATGAGTAGGTGACAGTCGAATAATTAAATTGCCTCTCAAATAGCCACTAATTTTCCTTTTTTTTCTTTTCTTGGTTTATTAGTAACAATAGACCTCCCAGTAAAAGAAGCTTTTTAAGAATGCGGATCGGCCTGTGAGAGAAGACGGTAATTCTGTGAATTGCGTTGGCATAAGGACTTGGGAGATTTTGTAATTCAACAAAGAAAAGCTCCCTGACAGATGGAGATTGATGATAAGAGCGCTTTATTTAATCAGCTGTCAGCTCACGTTTAAAGGCACTACTACTCACAGATTTCATTTGATTTGAATACAATCTCACTCAAGATAGCAAACGAAAGGCGACTGATTAACAGCCATCAACGATTCATGACACCGAAGGCGAGAGACCATGGCGAACGGAACAGCAACAAACGGCGAAAAATCGGACTGGAGCGAAGGCAAAGCTGAGCTACACGTAATCCTTCTCTGTACTGTAGTGCTTCTTATAGCAGCAGTGATTGTGGCCGGAAATTCCTTAGTGATTGCTTCAGTGGTGTCCAACAGAAGACTCCAAACGAAAACAAGCGCATTTATAACAAGTCTCGCTGTGGGTGATCTTATGATCGGGCTGGTTGTGATGCCGTTGATTGTGGTCTCCAACACTGTTGGACCCAGTGTGGAACATGGACTCGAGTACTGCCATGTGACGATCTCTCTGGCTGTGATGCTTATGTTTAATTCGGTGGCAAATCTCGGTGCTGTGACGTTTGATCGCTTTTTAGCTGTAGTGGTTCCTCTTCGCTACAAATCAATCATGACAAAACGAGTTATTGTGCCTATCATAGCCTTCGTGTGGGTTTTTTCAACGGTATTTGGATTTATCCCATTCATGGGATGGCGTACTGTCATTCAACCTAAACGTTCCTCAGGGTTATTTTGTCAAGTGCCTCTAAATCTTGCTCGAGGGTACATTATAACAGTTTGCGTTGTGGGACTCCTTCCATCGATTTTTGTCCTCGCAGCGTACATCAAAATCTTCCAAACTGCGTATCACCACGAGCTACGGATCGCAGCAGCCATCAACAGCGTTCTTCGGAATCAGAACGATCTCAAACTCAACATGATTAAAGAAATGAAGGCGGCAAAGATGGTCGCTTTGGTTTTGGGGGCTTTTATCTTCTCATGGGCGCCTTTGTTTGTAATCATGATTGTAGATATTGCGATGAAGAACGCAGTGAACTCGTACATTTATGCGGGAGCGGTGATCTTTGCCACTCTCCACTCAGCTCTGAATCCAGTTATTTACGCGTCCATGAATTCAGAATTTAGAGACACCTTTAAAGCGTTGCTGCAATGCCGGGGTGTCAACGTGAACAGAGTAGCCCCACTTGGTACAGTTTAAGGTTGCTCAAAAGCAGCGGGGATCAACGGAACACGATTATGATTTAATGAAACCAACTGTTCTGCGATTTCGTAATTGTAGATACAGTGTTACCACGCTTATCGTGACTTTTTTAGCGATCTGTAAGCTAAAACAACCTCGGAAGACACAATTATTCAGAGCAACTTGATATTTTCAAAAGCGAAATTCGTGCGTAATTGCATTGTTTTTTTTTTTTCTTGTCCTCGATATTTCATATAACGAAAAGGACGAAATCTGCGTCTGGCGTAAATAACCCTGGAAAATTACATCGACGCCAGAAATCGCCTGCGACCTGGTTGTGGGAGCTGTACGTGAGTAACAATGGGGAAATATCGCTCAACACGGACCACGGCGCCGGCAAAATTTGTTAGTTTGTTGATGTACTGATTAAAACGACACTTACCCAGCGAAGGTATTGTTGCTGTTATATTCAATTCATTTCAAACATTAAAAATTCTCGTTCTGCTTCACATGTTTGTTTCCAAATTTGCTTTCATGAAAATGAAAAACTACAAATTACAACGATTTCATAAATCATTTTTTGTACTTTAACTATTTCTGTGTTCATTTTCACTGGAAAAAAAAGGTTGCTTTGTTTTGCCCTAATGTATCAAGCTGTTTTATAGTTCCTTGTGCATTTTGTCTCAGTTTCAGTTCAAGCTTTTGTCCTGTTGAGACGAAACACTTGTCGAATTATTAGCAAGTTCTCTGAAGTTATGTGACACTACTGTGGTTAGTTCACCACGACACTACACGTAGATTTTCCCTCCGCTAAGTTCCAGAATTCTTTCTCAGATCAATTTAATTTATGCACTTAAACCACTGTAGAACTTATAAGATTCAACTCTATTTAATTTCCAAGCGTTTTCTATGTTTACTTCGTTGTATCACCCACAAAAAGAAAGCACTTTCATGCAAATTTTTTGACACTGTTTTATAGAAAGACAAAGCGATATATTTGCAGCCAGGAACTTCCGTCGCGCCAATTTGAAACCTGATTTGACGCTCTTGTCAAACCAGTTGAATAAAGATTTCTTTTAATTAGAAGAATGTTTAATTTACCGTAGGAAGCAGTGAATATCTTTGAACATGACAACGGAGAGTAGTTTTAAACAGATAATTGTTAAAAGGGGATGTTCGAGGCTTTGAATATTGATTGATTTACAAGCTCAAGATAAATCAAAGACAGAGTTGCATATAGTAATCCTGCGTTCGATCGATGATAGGCATTCGTTAAGGTAATCTCTCTGTCTTTAATTTCCTTTGTATGACAACTCAAACGCCAAAATCTGATTTCCACATAATGTGTCATCTTCTTTTGTTCAATTCCGGCAGTCCATCTCAAGGTAGACTTTTATTTTAAACGCGTCTTTCAACCGCTTTCAAGCTGTCAATCATCTTACATCCTCTTTAAGGTTCAAAACCTCTCGTAATTCAAAAACAAAAAGTTTAAATGGCACTACAGAGTTTCCTGTTGTAACAAAATAAGGTTCCAATTAACTTTTCGAGTGATACTTCAACTCCGGTACAAAGAAAATCAGGGAATTAAGATAATCACAATGAGGAAAAAGCTACAGACAAATCATAACCCAGAGTCAAAAATGTCAAGATTAAGGATAAATTTTGGCGTGGTCATTTTTTCCCCTGAGTTTTTCGTTTCAGGCCCAAGGAAGAAAAATAAGGTTCGCTGTTTGGATTTTTAATACACCAAACAGTTAATCGACAGAACTTTCGAGCATACTTACTGCGTTCAACTGGGTGTTGATCATCTTTTCAGTAAGTGTCGTCTGTAATGAATAATTCAGACAAAGACAAGACAAAAAGAGTCTATTTAAATTGACTTGTCTGTATAAATATGGTTACTAAGTGAAGTCAACGCATATTTAACCTAGGGGAGAAGGCCTTTCGCCTATGGGTGGCAAGTTTTGAGTGTAGGTCATCATAAATTGATCGAGTTTTTGTTATTTTCTGGGATTCAATAGCCTCGAAAAAGTTGTTATTACCATAATATGTTAAATCATACAGTTGCAAAAACAAATATTGAGCAAGGCTTTCAATCGTGGGTGCACCTCTTGACAAGCTGATTATACGCAGACTCCAACAGTGCAATTACCAAGTGAACACAAGGTTATGGCAACCATCGTCAAATATTTTTTAATTGTCGTATTCTTTTGTGTGGCTTTATCCCTCAGGCGTCTGTACACTAGTTATGTTGTCAATTTTTCAAAGTGGGCGAGCCTGCTGTGTAATGAATTTATTAATACCTCCTAATTCAAACAAAACCATGCTTTTTAATTAGTTTTATTAAGTGAGAAATATTAGCCATTTTAAATTGCTTTTCGTCGTTGTCTTTTTTCGCTTTTTTAACGATCTACTCATAAACCACAATGATTTGCCAGTTAACTTAGTTCAAACTTTATTTTTGCTCGCTGCAAACTGTTTAAATTTAACTTTTTTTGCTACAAATTGCAGATCAGGTTCATTTCAATCAATGCAAAACAAAGTTGTTTCTGATTAAGGCAACGCTTTTTTTTTTCTCTTTTTCCACTCCACGTGCCTTTCGTTGTTTTCATTGAAAAACTTGGGCAAATGGCAGGAAAATCCTGCAGATGAACCTAAAAATTCCTAAGTGTCTATAATTCGAGAGGAGAATTCAGAATAAGGCTTAAAGCTATCCGAGCCATGTATACACTTTGTTGGGTTTTTCACATTTAATCATGTTTATCTTCAATAGATTTTCCCTCAGTGTTTCACTGCTGTGTCTATCCGAAAAACCTCCCACCCCTCCCTCTCTCTCTCTGATTTAGAAGAACGTTTGAAGTCTTTGAAGGCATCGAATACGGAGAGATGGCGGAACAGCTTTCGCTTTTTACAAAAATTGATTCAAGTGAAAAAAAGGAAAACGGTACATGTCAGTTACAAGATTCTTATRTTCAGAGTTTGTTGGATAAGACARWAACAAACCAGATGTTTGAGGCTCTAATTAATAACACCTCGGTTCGTCATTCGTTTTGTAAAAGCTTTACATATCGCTTGTTGCAGCCCTTCCCCTCCCACTTCCCCCACCCCCCCCCCCAAAAGCAAGGCGTACTTTTTGCACCAGCAAAAATATAAACAAGTATTTACTTCTTTCACAAAGGAGTACTAACAACACATGAAAAGTCATTTATTATATTTCAAAATTTCGTCGACCTGAACGACCCCCTAAACGTGCACTTAATTTCAAAACATTAACACCAAGGCAAACTTTTGGCCAAACCGGAGGCTCGGGGAACAATAACATACTAGAATTCTCTTTTCTTTTCACACAGGAGAACCGCAAACTTATAAGTGGCTGTGCATAAAGTGTTCCCTACCTTTCGATATAATTCTCTCGTTTAGTGTTATCGCTGTTTTGGTAAAATTAAATCGAGGGAATTTTTGAAGTCGAAAGTGAATTACAGTATTGAATTTAGCAGAACGTTACATGTACTACAATTAACTGAACGAACTATTTTAGTCACCTAGAATTAATATCAACTTTGTGCCAACTATAAAAGCAACAACTGCTCCCTTTGTCAAACGTCCTTTTGTAACTCCGATTGAGTGGCACCAAACGTGGTGCATCATTCTTGACAACTTAGGGACGCACCAATAACGAAACAAAACTAGTTTACAAACGTATTGGGTAGTGGAATCTAAGGTGGTTCTCGCTTGACTGTTAAAAATGCTGAATCTTTCCGCGCTGGTTTTTGCTGAGCTTTGTCATTGGATAGAAAAACCCCTCTCATTAATCAGAACCTGTCGAGTTTTAAACCAGTCAGGAGCAAAGCAAAGTCAGTCGCCAGTCGGGTTACGCGCTCTGTAACCATTACATATTTGCACTGCTTTGCACCTGTTACATATTTTCTCGCAATTTGTACCTGTTACATATTCTCCCGCGCTTTGCACCCGCTACATATATCACGCGCTTTGTACCCGCTACATATTTTCCCGCGCTTTGTACCCGCTGCATCTTTTTCCGCGCATTGAAATCGTCACATCTTTTCCCGCGCTTTGAACCCGCTACATATTTTCCCGCGCTTTGTACTCGTTACATATTTTCCCGCGCTTTTCACTGTTTGCATAATGAAGTGCATTTTTTCCCGGCCATTTAAAAGGTCTTTTTTTGCTGCACTGAATACGGTTGTTATAACCTTTACAACCAATACAATGCCAACTAGTTCAGTTCTTTTTAACAAAATTGAAGAACCCAGGAACTTTCTCTGAAATAACAAACAAAAATAGCTTTAGTTAGTTTAAAAATTGAACACTGTTCCAAAAATTCACATTAACCAAACAAATAAGCTAGTTATTACCTGTACATTTGTGCCGAATGTTTGACCAGATGATTTTGGCCTGCGAGAAGCCAAACACACCCAGCCTACCCCCCAGGTGAGTGTGGTCCTCGACATTTCCGGAGTCAGTAATCATCTCTGAACCGCGAAACACTTGCAGCCTGTAGAAAATACGGGAAGAAATAAAATTTAGCTACGAGAGAACTTTTACGTGGACGGGTTAAACGATGACATCTCTGCATAGCGAGTGTCCTAAGTTAAATAATGGTTCTAGATTTAGCTGTGTAGTAATCAAACTGTATCCCAGGGAACTCATGTAATACGGACGGGGGAGCTCGTCGCACCTTTTAGAGGTTAAAAAAGCCGTTTTGCTACCTCTTAGGTTGTTCAGTCGCAAAAGGTCCACAGCGGGAACTTTTAAGGTACCTTTTAGTATATTGTGCCGAAAAAAACTATGACAGGAGATAATGTGTTGTTTTAGAACTGGTTCCCCTTAAGGGTGAAAAAAGAAATTCAACTCACGCCCATAAAACAGGTTCTTGGTCCTCTTAGGAGATCTTTTCAAAATTTCCGGAGAGCGCCCCCTTCATTTTTATATGGGAGTTCCCCCGGCACTGTATACCTAATAAGCCCCGCTGCCGGCCGATGATACAGTTCCCATCTGTAAGCCGTCTTATTCTGCCAGGGAGTCTGCGTAGGATCCGACCATAGCACTTTCACCTGAAATAATAACAGGTTTTGAGATTAATTTCTTGAAGGTGCAAGCGCGGAATATATCGGTTACCACGGTTACCTCATCCGGGGTAGTGTTGGAGTTCCACAAAGCGTTCCGAAGGGTTTGGCTTGGACCACTCTTCGAATTGACAGCCTGTGTTGAAAGAAATGGGAACTAAACGTTTAATCGGTGTTATTTGGAAATGTGTTAATCAACCAAAATAAGAAGCGAGAACATGTAAAACTGAACGTTAAAGGAGCTAGTCAATGTTTAGTTTACGCATCTTGAGAATTTCAGGCTAGATTATTATCATCATCATCGTCTCTTTGGTGTTTTCCTATCTCAGTAAACCATTATTTTCAGGGTCTTCAATTTTTAAGGTTATTTTGTACTTGGCTAAAATAACTCGAAATACCGTGACTGAGCTTAGTTAAAGCGCGAGAAAACAAGTCCGAGCCAAGTGCGCGAAAACCTGTAATTGATGTCAAGCGTGGGCGACAGTAAACCGCGCCAGGGACAACAAAACATAATCAAAACCACGCTAGTAAAACACTAAACCAATGCCAAGGCAGGGGAAACACGTGACCAGTGCTAAGCGCGCGAAAAGTGACGTAAACCAAATCTGGATTAGTTTAGGTTTTGTAGCTGTCAGTGAAAAGGGAGCAACATTTTTTGCTGCAGACTTTTTAGAAAGAACTTTCTTATTCTTAAACAGAATTTGTAGTTCTATTCTGAGACGTGAATAGCTGAGTTATCGAAACCTGATTTGACACTTCACCAGTCGGTTCTGAACCAAGTTCCTTTAAGAAACGTTCCAAAGTACACATAGACAAAGTGGACTAAACAACGATGTTTTCAATGAACTAGCAACAAATTAAACAGCAATAGTTTTTCAAGAGGTATAAGTAAATAGTCTTTGAGGTGTTCCCACATGAAATCGCAATTCTGTAGATCGACTAACAATGCTTGTTCTGAGTGGAGACGGGGGAAAATACTACATACCACTTACACGTAAGTAGAACTGACCTTCAGTTGCAGTCCCGGCTCAGCTATAGCAGGGAATGGTGTTTTCTCCCAATATGTTTGACGCTTCTTCTTCCACGTGATCACGTAGAATGCGCTACTACTCTGATAACTGAACACAATACCCGCGAAGTCATCATCGTCGTTATTGTTTATATACAACGTGCCTGAAAAATCAACTCCAGAAAAGCGACTGCGACCTGTCAAGGTAAGAGGGAGGCAAGGCTTTCATTAAAAGTTTTCTGCAAGAGGACAATTGGTTTCCATAGGTAAGAAAATCTTCTTGAACTGAATTTCTTTACGAGGAAAACTTTTCTCCAGTCTAGCTAAATGGTCAAACCAGGTGGGCCGGCAAAATCATCCTAACAGCTAATTAATTTACCTGGTGCCTGGCCGTTAATGAAACCCTGGAGATGATGTAAGTAGATGCTATTTGACAAATTTATTTGCTTACACCAATTAAATATGAAATGTAGACCTAGACTTTAAACAGGATTAGAATAAGCTTTTGATCTAACGGGACCAAAGGTCCCCCACTTTATAGACGGCGACAAAGCAGGCTACCCCGGCTGAGGCTAGTTCATGGCTTCAAACGAGTTTACTGATATCATTAAGTTACTGGAAAATAAAAAATTGAAACGGTATACCAGAGTAGACTTTCTTTGATCTCACCAATAGCTAATCCTGGATCGCTGTTCTTGAGTTGCCAAATGTCCGCACCCTTTAACGGAATCAACAGGTTGAAATATGTTATGTACCACAATTAAATTCAAGCAAACCTGGCTATCCAGCTGAAAGGTTTTGCAGTTCTGCACCTTTGAACTTTTCATATCAAAGCGAGTTTGATTTGAATGAAAACGGATGTGCAGGCAGGTGAAACACGAGTATTCGCACGAATAGTCGTGTAATTTTTTTCTTTCAACCTGCAGAAATATATCATTGCACTCATATTTAGAAATGACTAAATAAAGTCAAATAAATTCTTTCATTCATCCATTCATTCAACAAAAGAACTGCTGTCACATTATACCTCGTTGCTGACTTTCCACTCTGGGTCCACTTGCGAGTCCCCATAAGGATCCAAAAATACAGTCTGGGGCTCTCTGAAGTCGGTCCGGGTGATCTGATTGTTATTAGGACAGGCGTCCTCCGTATCTGGGATGTGATCGCCGTCATAGTCTGATGAACAGCTGTCTCCTACACCGTCTCCTTTAGGATTGACAAATAAGATCAGCTCAGCGAAAGAGAATGAGATCGTTCTTGCTATATCAGCTTAAGTAGTTGAAACTACAACCTGAACAAATTCAGTCTCCAACGGGAATCGAATATTTCTGCTATCAAGTACAAGTATCAGTATGAAATAAATTGTAAACTGTAGATAGACTTTATTACTGACAGCGATCTTGGGAAATCTGAATCAACGTAGGTAGTTAAAGGGTAAAGGTTTCAACATGGCGGTACAGCTACAATGCTCTGCCCACGGAGCTAAGACCGGACGCTATAGAGAGGTAGACGGTTGCGAGTTCTATATGTTACCCTCATGATGGGCATGTGTGTCAGAATCGTTCATGTTGGAATTTAAAACACTGTAAAGCTATATTTCCAGAAAACCTCACAAATTCTGATTTTGCGTCAAGCAAAGTGCACAGCACTTACCATCAGTATCTTGCTGATCACGGTTGTAAATCAGTGGACAGTTGTCTTTTTCATCAAGAACTTTATCATTATCATCGTCATAGTCGCAAACATCACCTGAGAAAGAAAAAAAATACTTTAAAGGAACCACTGAGTAGCTTATGTGGTAACGTTTTTATCAAAATTTATATCGATAACTGAATCAAGCACTCTTTAGCCAGTGGCTTCTTTGACCTCTCTGCCTTATCTTCCTTTATGATTAGATGAGAAGTTTTGAAACCTGCGCGCTCGCTCAATTCTCGGAGATAGGGCGCCGGGCTTAGACACAAAAAGTTTCTTGTTGTCCTGGCTCTCGGAGGCACTTAACTTGAATTGTTCTCCCTTGCCACTGATCTCGCGAATGCTCAAGTTAGTTCCTCAACAGAATAGCTAGAATAACAGGCTTGTGATCGCCTTCAAGTTCAATTGCCATAAGGGATGGGTTTATATGTGAAAAGATATACAAAGCTTCGTATTTCATTCTCTATTCTGAAACTCATTAATAATTCATTATGTTAATTTCTGGTCGAAATACTTCCTGATACGTAGGATATTATGGAAATAAAAGAAGGCGGTACTGCACAACCTTGTTAATATGCGTTGACATTGACAAGTTCGAGTCAAAGCAGGAGCCTAGGTTTCTCACTGTATTAACAGAGAAAACACCAAAGCTGACGACACGTATTGAACACTCGTTGAACTTGGAAAGTTGGTGTTTGGAACCAACGATTATGAATTCAGTCTTGTCATCATTTATCATCAATTTGTCTTGCAGCATCTATGTTTTGAAATCGCGTACACAATTCTCCATAGTTGCAACGGCTTCGTCTTGTGTTTTGGCGTCACCAGGTTTAAATGATAGATATGACTGAAAGTCATCAGCAAAACAGTTTCAAGTAAATGTGACAGAATAATATCGAACAACTTGGAAGCGTAGACGACAAAGAGTAAGGACCCCAAACAGGAACCCTGTGGAACGTCATAATTCAAGCTAAACTTTCTGGAAATTGCACCATTCAGTGAAACGCGTAGGCTCCGATCGGTAAGGTAAGACTTAACCCTGCTGAGAACCTTTCCGCGCACGCCAAACAAAGGGAATCATGGCCGTGATGGTGTTTGGATATCTGATCTTAATTAGCATAGAGTCTTACGATTTTATTTCTACTTTACTCCTTAGTTTTAGTTTCGATTGAGAAGATATATCGAACACTCAAGACAGTATTTGACCACATTTCCAAACACCTCGAAGTTCGTTATCAGTTTTCAACTCTCTTCTCGGTGTTTGGAAATGTGGTCAAACACGGTCTTTCGTGTTTGGTATATTGTGTCCTAAATGGAGCCCATCTTACCTATTTGATCGCCATCAGTGTCCAGCTGGTCAGGGTTTGGCGTCCGTGGGCAGTTGTCTATGTTATTTTGAACTCCATCTGTATCCCTACAGTCATAAAAAGAAAACGACTGGAGCAGCTGCAAAAAATGGCTTCCCTTGCACGATTTAATTTTCAGCCGCTTTTGCTGTGCAAGAATTATTGTTTGGGAAATCTCTCTCTCCCCGTCCCCTCAAAAAAATAATGGTCCTTTCCTAACCCTTAAAATGTTCCGCTTAAAATTTCTTAACACAGTCAAACAAAGTTAGATAACAGAAACACTACTTACGTGTCGTAATTATTGTCACATGCATCACCCACCAGATCGTTGTCGCCATCAAGCTGTTGATGGATTGAATCAGTATTCAGTAGAGAGAAGAGTTCTTCATTTTATCAAGTCAGTTTCCTTTAACAATTAATATAGATCAGTGTGAGGAAGATGTACGAGAGGGTGTAGTGGGACACTTTGTGACCATTACATCACATAGCATTTCGTCTCGCAACCGTCGAAACCAGTCTCTGAGAAGAGCACACGTTGTGGAAGCAAAGTTGCTTACTCCTAGCCTTGCTCGTGCTCAGTAACGTCAAGAGTGTTGTGTTACTTGCCTTGAAGCACGTTTCAGCTCGTCTACAAGGGAAGAGAGTGGGGGTTAGGGGGCGCTGAAAACTATACTCTACCCAGAGCCAGTGCCCGGCTGGCTAGCGAGGACTCGTCCTTATAGAATAAAAAGGTCAGGAAGGTTTTCAGTTAAGAAAAAAAATAGATTTCAACTTGATGATACCTGATTAGGGTTGTGTTTGTACTTGCAGTTGTCGCAGGTATCTCCCACCCCGTCTTGATCAGAGTCCCTCTGCTCTGGGTTGGCTACATTAGGACAATTGTCCTTTTCTCCAACACCTAGCGGTATACAAACAAAACAAAGGTCACAAGAGTCGGCCCAGCTATCTCTACTCGCGCTAATGTTGGCATATTCTTAACCAACGTGTTGCAAGCCTGAGAATAATAATAAGATTCGTTTGTGAATTAGCACTGAAGATAAGCCGAACACTCCGTCAGGCTTGCAATTGTTTCACTACAGTGTCGTTTTGAGTCTCGAAATAATACTGAAAATATTCATTTAAGTCTAGTTCCAAGTGATCACTACAATAGTAAAGACTATCAAATTAAGCAACCCTTTCCGGATATTGATCCTGGCGGGTTTCCATAAAGTCGCTCGATCGGTGTCAGTAAAACTATCATTTTAACAGATGCTGTTTCAGTCTAAATCGTGTTTGGTGGTTTAAATTTACGTTAGCTATGCTTCGGCAAAGTGTTCGAAATTTTTGTCCAAAACTCATCCGAAATGAGATAAAAAGTGTCCGAAAATTATCCTTCCGAAATAAAACGTCCAAGTAATGTACTCACCGTCATAATCTCTATCATCAAGACAAATGGCTTCCTGATTTGCGTTTTCTGTGAGAGGACAGCTATCACACTCGTCTCCTATTCTGTCCCAGTCACTATCCTTCTGATCAGAATTGGGCGTGAACGGACAATTGTCCTGAAACGAAAGGAAAACCAGAGTTTTTAGCTTGGAATGGTATAGTGGAATAGAGTACGCTACAACTGATGGGCGTAGCCAACATTTTAGCCTCTCGTAGTGGTGCCGGCGATTTTTGTAGTATGAATTCCTCCCCCCCCCCTCCCCCATTTTGTTAGTATGAGCCCCCCTACCCCCTCAGCACCCCCCAGGCCAATGCAGGTTACCCTTAAATTTGTTATATTTCTCCAACACCTCGCGGGACCCATTTACGCTACTGAGATGAGAGAGGTAATGTGAAATTGAAGTTCCTTACTCCACATCACGTGATCATTATCGGCCAGCCAGAGTTCAACTTGTGATAGTACATTATGTCCCGCCTATCAGATTCTATCCCTAAACCACTGATAACGTTTACAACTGCTACACGACGGACAATTGCTTTTATACGCGAACCCAAATCTTTTTTTTTTCCCTATCTTTTTCTTTACGCTGATTGTGATTCACACTACTCCCAGCACTGGTACGTGTACTTATCCAATTTACAACAGAAACACAACTACTTACACTTGTCTACTTACACTTCTTAACAATACGATCCAATTACAGGTGCAAACATACAATGCTACAATTTGCGTAACTTACTCTACAAAACAATACAATTACTTAATATTTAAGTTACGATCGCAAGTTAAATCGAACTCAGACCTGATAAGCAGAAAATGATTTCAGATTTAACTTACGATCGCAAGTTAAATCGAACTCAGACCTGATAAGCAGAAAATGATTTCAGATTTAACTTACGATCGCAAGTTAAATCGAACTCAGACCTGATGAGCAGAAAATGATTTCAGATTTAACTTACGATCGCAAGTTAAATCGAACTCAGATCTGATAAGCAGAAAGTGATTTCAGATTTAACTTACGAGCGCAANTTCCAGATTTAACTTACGATCGCAAGGTAAATCGAACTCAGATCTGATAAGTAGAAAATGATTCCAGATTTAACTTACGATCGCAAGGTAAATCGAACTCAGACCTGATAAGCAGAAAATGTATCAATACCAACCGGATTGGAATTGAGAATGCCGTCATTGTCTGCATCAGAATCACAGGCGTCTCCTTGGAAGTCTTCGTCGACATCCTCTTGTCCCGCGTTAGGAATGTTAGGGCAGTTGTCCTGATAAAGAACATTCGCGAAAATTAATCACAGTCAAATAGTTGGTAAATGCAATTTCTGACCACTGAGGGACGAATTAGTCAGAAACTATCATTCTGACGGCACGATGGAGAGGCTCGCGGGGTGTCATGGGACGTTAATGGACAATTTAGGCATTTGGCAGGAGATTTAGGTCATTCTATGTTAGTAAGTCTTCGTGTTCGTCCACTTATTTATTGAGCTTTTATTGTAACAGCTTGTATGTATAATCGCAAAATGCTCTAGCTTATTGGTGAGGGTTACGTTTCCACATATTTTTCGCCACGTCTAAAGGGTGTTTTGTTTAGTGGTTTTTCGTATCTGGTTTTAATTGTTAGAACCAATAGTTGTAATTTGCAATGATACAAATTATCTTATTACACGGACTACTACATCTACATCTGGTGACTGACTGACGCATCCAGCGGCGGATCCAGACCTTGAACTAAGAGGGGTGGGGAGGGGGGGAGGTGGACGGTTTTGTTTTTCTTGCCCTGCCGGCTTTTCTTCCTTCTGTGATTTCTTCTTTGTGTTTTTGCTCAAGATAAGGGGGTCCGGGCCCCCCGGCGCCTCCCCTAGATCCGCCACTGGCATCCTCAATAAACTAGATCTGTATTCATATTGAACGTCTCGTGTTAATGTAGTCAGAATGTGAACTTTAATGGGGTATAGAGCGAGACAGATTATCTACTATTAGAAAACAGTCCTAAGAAATACGCGCCCTGATTGGTTAAAAATCGTGTTTCTATAACTCGATAGAACACAGAATTATAGCACGAGCTGTTGACGTAATGATGGCGCGAGCAAAGAGAATTTACATTTTTATAATCAAAGTTAACAAGTTGTTTTCCTTTTTTTTTTTTTCGTCGCGGTGTTTTCCAGAAGAAATAGAAAACATGTTCTCCGTGTTTCTATAGAGTTATAGAAACACTCGTGAAAGTTTGGGAGAACTCGAAAAAGCTGTGGAAACACCCCCCTGCGGCTCGTGTTCCCACAGCATTTCTCGTTCTCCCAAACTTCCACTCGTGTTTCTATAACTCGATAGGAACAAGGTATTTGTGCAAACAAACTTTACTAAAGAAAGAGAACGAGAAAAAGTATTGTAAAAGCACGCCTATTTTTCCTTAGAGTGGATCCGAAATAGGTAACCTTATATGATTTTAGCTCTTGTGATGAAAGTCTGGTTTCTAGTATTGATAGAAGCTCCATATTTTTCTCACCTTGGCACACGAGCGATCGTGGCACGATAGTTCAGCATCTGGGATACCATCCAAGTCAGTGTCTAGTCCACAATATTTTCCATTACCTCCATAACCAATCTTACACTGTTAGAAAAAGACAAAATCTTTAAGAACTATGATTAGGTCTAATAGCGATGAACAGCAAAAAGGAAGAACAAGTTTAAAGAGCAATGGGTGAGCAGAACAGATCTGCGCAAGCACAAATGGGATGACCCAAGTGAAAACGAAATTCGACGCAAACACAAGCACAAGCAAAATCAACCGAACATTCCAAACTGTTTAGGCGCGAGGTAATCTGGATCCAGTGTTTTCATTGGCCAAACATAACAACGTGTGGTAAATATCCTTGTGCTTGTGTTATGCCTGAGCGGTATTTCGTTTTCACGATGAAATAAGAATTATCGTGTTTACGCTTGTTCTTGCGCTTGTGCTTGTGCTTGTGAAAGTGATTGCGTCGCTAGTGAAAACCAAGCTTAAAACTCCCTAGAGAAAAGCGAACGAGAGAACGAGCGAACGAGCGAACGAGCGAACGAGCGAACGA